AACCATAAATTATTGAAAAAATAAATCATTTATCTATTACTGATAACAGCTTCGCTTTCTTTTCACTGCTTTGAATTTAGTAAGGCTCAAGTTCTGCATTACAAAAATTCTAATTAGACGTCCAGTTAACGCATCAGATAAGAGATCATTGTGAAAGACTTAAAAGCACATGGATGAATGCGAGCATGATTCTGAAATACTGTAATTCTACTGGCTGAAATTAAGAGTTAGGATCTGTGGAGCGCGATTAGCAAGATTGCTACAAAAACAAATGCATGTTTAACTGTTCATGCCAGGTCTGCCATAAAAAAGGTCTTTACTTACAAGAAAAATCTGAAATGAAAAATCGGTTTCTCTCACACTGCCACTATGTGCCCCTTAATAACACAATGTTACAGCATATTGATGTCTTTTATATACACCCTTCACTCAGCACATATACGTCTTTTTCCCATGTCTGCTTACATTAATAACAACAGTCACATCCTTGCATTCTAGATTTCCCTTGTGGGATTTGACCAGCAGGCTTAAATCTTTAATCTTTGCAGTATCAAAAATCACATGCTAGGTTGTGGTTAGAGCCTGAGAGAGAGCTGTCCTCCACTGACCCCTCATCCTCTGATCTACACATCTCCTCCATCAGAGCTGTCACCAACATCTAACCGACATTGTGACCTACATTAAAGGGTCAAATCATGACAGATCAAATTTTCCTTGAACTTTTATCTTGAAACAAAATAATATATTACCCCTATTCAGATAGGGTATAGCTTTATATGGGCAGGTGGGTTTAATTTAAAAATTACCCAAATTTCTCGATAGTATCTTCTGAAATTCCAGCTAAAATATGAGTCTGCTATCCATAATATTGCTTTTTTTTTTTATTTTTTACAGTGAATCAGGAGACAAATATGCACATATGAAGCAATGTTTACAAGTGAAAACAGTCCAAAACAGGAATTCTAAAGCAATATATCAGTGGATTTTGGTGTGAGAAGAGAACGGGGGGCAGACGTTTTCACTGGAGCAAGCATTATTATGGATTATGCACTAATTTCAGCAATGGTTTGCCTTAATGATGGATTTGTTTCTTACAAACACGCAGCTTTTCACTTCACAAGATGCTAATCAATGGACTGGAGTGGTGTGGATTACTTGTAGATTATTGGGTTTTTTTTAAAATTCCAAGTAAAATATTATTTTGTTTACCGTATATTTTTTTTTTTTTTTTTTTTTTTACAGTGAATCAGGAGACAAATATGCACATATGAAGCAATGTTTACAAGTGAAAACAGTCCAAAACAGGAATTCTAAAGCAATATATCAGTGGATTTTGGTGTGAGAAGAGAACGGGGGGGCAGACGTTTTCACTGGAGCAAGCATTATTATGGATTATGCACTAATTTCAGCAATGGTTTGCCTTAATGATGGATTTGTTTCTTACAAACACGCAGCTTTTCACTTCACAAGATGCTAATCAATGGACTGGAGTGGTGTGGATTACTTGTAGATTATTGTGATGTTTTTATCAGCTGTTTGAACTCTCATTCTGACGGCACCCATTCACTGCAATGGTGAGCAAATACTGTGATGCTAAAATTCTCTAAATCTGTTCTGATGAAGAAACAAACTCATCTTTATCTTGGATGGCCTGAGGGTGAGTAAATGTTCCCCAAATTTTCCTTTAAAAAGGGCTTGTTTACTTCAAGGGTCAGCAAGAAAGTGGAAAATGGACATAAATGCTATTTTTGGCTCCAAAAACATTATAAATGGACCCTTGTAAACTAACAACAACAATAATAATACATGGGATAACTACATAAAACAGCACAAGTTTTTATGAATATTGTGGCAGTACATGGACGAACAACACTTTTGGAAAATCTTTACACCACAATCTTGTCTGTTTTAGTGAAACAATCACTCTTCTCTGTCAAGATGTTTATGAGAATAGCTTAATAATAAGGCAGATGGGGAGCAAAATAGTTTTAAGAGTTCTAGCAAACATGTAGTCTGAGACGAGCAAAGTTCGGTTTTATGTTCCCATGCGACACATAACAGCAGAAGCTTCAATATACAGATGTTCATGGTGTGCTCTTTTCTAAGTAAATGTTGTTAGGTCAAGGAGGTGAGCAAGCTAGAAAGGTCAGATGAAGTAGTACAAAGGAAGATAATTACACCTGACAGTGAACGTAAAAGGTGTACAAAGCAAGACATGGACTTATGCTTTGCTACCCGTTGCTACAAGAACTTGTACAAATGACCACCAGATGTCAAAATACAAGTCAATACAACAAGCAAACAACCAAAAGCATTAGTATATGAGAATGAATCAATCTACAGGTCTTCTAGATTCCTGGAAGTGAACACCTTAAAGGGTACTTTCACACTCGATTCAGTTTCCTGGTCTGCAGAGTTTGATTGCTCCTGCTTGGGTCCAAACTGCAGTATATTTGCATCATCAAAAGAAAACAGCATTCACATTGTGTAAACAAGCACAGGTACACACCAAAAGTGCTAGTGGGAAAGCACAGTAAATCAAAGATGGGTTACGGAACCAGGAAATGTTTTTTTCATCAGCATTCACATTGTGTAAACAAGCACAGGTACACACCAAAAGTGCTAGTGGGAAAGCACTGTAAATCAAAGATGGGTTACGGAACCAGGAAATGTTTTTTTCATGAAAATAT